AATAATCTTACATATACATTTCCTCTACTGGCCTTCATGCAACATTAGCAATAGCTAATGACTTGCCCCAACTTACTTATAATCACTCCATATGCTTTATAGCCCTCTTGGAGTGGTTTACAAATGTCTGCATATGATAAAATAGCCAATGCGATTCCCAAAGAAAGCAACTTTAATTTAACCAGGTTAAGGATCAAGATCAACGACCTAACCAGACGTCATGTATGGACATATTTTATATGTCTTCTTTATATGTGAATAAAGAAGACATAGGCTTTAATTGCAGAAAAGTTACAAAGGGCTCTCCAATAAGAAAGCAAAACAGTGCCAACAGTTCATTAGGAAAAGTACTGACAATAGAAGCAAATCAAAGGTCATTACTATGAAGCCGAATCTGTTGCCACCATATTGGATGCTCTCATCTACTCCATCAGATATGCAGCCATGCTGGTAGCTTTCTCCATCAATACTCCATGCAGTGCCATATGTTGAGTAAGATCGTGAGTATTATTTATGACACATGACAAAAGGGAGGAGATAGAGGAAGCCAGTTACGGCTCCATAGAAGATCATGCTAAGATGTTGATCCTAATAAATGAATGGTTTTTTTAAAAAACTTTGTCTCGAGGCTCGTAAATTAATTAGGTCATCCCTTGGGAACTTCACAGTAGCAACATGGATGTGTTTATTTATTGGATTTGTTAAGGCCACCCAATTCCAAAACTACTCTACCATGACCAAAGTTTCCATCAGTAGACAAGCTCTACAGCAAATAGATTCTTTTTGTAAATCTACTTAGTGAATAACTCCTGCTGTATTAAGAAACATGGCTAAATCTCATCAAAAGCCAAAGTAGAAATAGGGACAGTTTTATAATATAATAAACAGCTACAATGACAATTTTATTTGAAATAAAGTAAATCTTCAATATGACTACAAATCTTATTCTTGCACCAAATGTTCATAGTCACAGACACATTTGAAAAGCAACTACTGTATTTTTTGGGCTATAAGATGCACCGGTGTATAAGACGTACCAAGATTTAGAAGAGATAAGTAAGAAAAAAGTTTTTGTCCTCCCCAGCTCCCAGGAGCACTTTGCAGGCTTCAGCAGGGCTGGGGGAAGGCAAAAATGCCCCCGTTTTTATGAAAAATGGGCCATTTTTCACAAAAACGGGAGCATATATGCCTTCCCCCAGCCCTGCTGAAGCCTGCAGAGTGCTTCTGGGGGCAGGGGGAAGGCAAAAATGCCTCTGTTTGGGGGGAAACGGCCCATTTTGGGAAAAATGGGATGCAGGGGCGGGGCTTCAGGAGGCCAAAAATGGCTGTATTCAGTGTATAAGATGCACTAACATTTCCACGCTTTACTCCAATAAATATGGTATGATTTAGCTACTTAAGTGCCTCACTGCTATTGGTGTTAATAGAATTTGCTATTTAGGTAAATGGTGAGCTTTAAGAATGGAAAACTTTACCACTAACATACTAAATTTAGAGGTATCTGATCATCTTTATCTGATCATCAAAGCAGTTGGAGGATACAAGAATGTAACAAAAACTTTTTGGGCCCTTCTTACGGATAGGTATGGTCTGCCAATGTCTTTAAGTATTGAAAGGATCAGCAAATTCACTACTGGGGGAACAACTACTGTAGTGGAATAATCCACTCCATGGACTATGTCACAGAAATAAATGACAATATTAACTGACGGAGCAGTTACTCTGCCCTGCAATGGCAGAAACAAGCTGATGTCCAGAAAAATGTTCAGAATAGCTTCTAAGATTTTGTTGTTTGCTTAAGCACTTAGGCTTCAATTTCATTTAGGCCAGTGATGGCGAACCTATGACACGCGTGTCAGTGCTGACACGCGTAGCCATTTGGGGTGACACGCA